TATTTGTTGAGCTAACTTACTTTTAGTGAGTTGTACCTACTGAATCAGGTAGTGTGAAGGTACCACTGTAAAATAAGGTGGTTTCAACTAGATTTACATTCATCTTAATGAAGTCACATCAATGATTTGGTCCTAAACATTGCAGATTAGTTGGCGGGCTGTATTGCATTACACTGGGTCACGCTATAGTAACTCAGTTAAAGGAACCTTTAAAACATATGTTGAGCCAACACATTTCATTTGAATTTGAATAACCATAATGAATGGAGTTGAGCCAACTCATTTGATTTACAATCATCCATTGCATTACCATAATTCTGGTTAAGCCAACATATTTGGTTTAAATTAGAACAACCTTAATGAATTATGTTTTGCCAACTCATTTTATTTATATAAGAATAACCACAATATATTACGTTGAGCCAACATGTTTGATCTAGAATCGCCCATTGAATCACCATTGTAACAAGTTGAGCCAACACATTTGCTTTACATTGGAATAATCTTAATAAATTAGGTTGACCTAACACATTTGCTTTAAATAGGAGTAACACAAGTACATGGTGCTGAAATAAAGCAAAGTAATCAGGTGGAAATCCTTTCCATAATTTTTTTATGTTCATCCGATGACTTATTTTTTTCAGTGTAATACTCTCCCATTCACATATATATGATCTGCTTTTTTTGTTGTTGTTGCTTTCCATGCAGTCTAGAATATCATAATGAAAAAAGATATAGTATCTTGATAGTGAGGGACTAGTTTTGTCTTGCTTCAAAAAGTGTTTTTCTCTCCGTTTCAAAATTACTGTCACTGACAGAAATGAGAAATCCTTACAATTCTGACATTATCAAGAACCAAAATCACCAAAAAAAAAGGTCATCCTTAACTCCTGTATAGAAATGTAACGCCTCTCACAGAACCAGGGGAAAAATAAAGTCTGGTCCGGCCAGCTCACAATTTGAAAAAGTTGCATCAGTGTGCCCATCTTTCTTTCCGACTCAAATATTGGAGTTGCCCTAAATAATTTGTGAGTTTTGTAAACATGGAATGTCTTTTGGGGTTACCATGTTTTATGATCGTATCTATATACTGAAGGACAAGAACACTCTTGGAGAAGCTGAAAGAAGAGCAGGATCTGTCTACAGAATAGTACTCTTTATCTATAAAATATAAGATGTAGGCTCGTGAATAATTTATAGAAAAATGATGGTTTTATTAAGCTTTGGGCCCTATAGGCCTTTTTGAAGTATTCATACCCTTGAACTTTTACCATACTTTTCCATGTTGCAAAGTCAACATATTCTTGTATGGCTTTGTGTGATAGATTGGCGTACGCCGGTAATTTGGATAATGGTGAAGATAAATCAGTATTAGCTTTTGTCATGTCGGACGAAAATGTTACATTTTGTCTCATTTACCAGAAGTCGTTCTCTAACATGGTTGCGGTGGATGTCCCTTGCATGGCTTGTGGCAAATTGCAAATAACACATTTCACGGTCTTGCCTCCTCAGTGAGACCAGATTTGCACTCTCCTTGTCAGTTTAGATGTAGACATTTCTTGGTGCCAAGCTCTTTCCATTTCCAGGTAATGAACTTAACATTTCAAATGCACACCACATTTGCACAAACCTTTTATTTGTAAGTAGCATTCCAAAACCATTTATTACTATTATTCCACCTCAGAAGTGAAACTACCTTTGGTTGGTCTGTAACAAATACCAATGTGTCTTTGATGTTTGCAGCTGTAACAAGATGAAATGTGACACTTTTGCAAGGCACTGTAAAAGGTCTGTATGATAAAAAGTCAAAAAACACCTCAAAGCACTCTGCAATCACAATTGATGTTGAGTAAAACCCCTCGCTTAAGTGCCTAAAGCCTTTCCATTTGACCTCTCTAATGCCTCTTGTGTCATGCACAACAGGAATGATAATTATGGGCTGTGTATAGGCTTGATTATAATCAAGCCTATACACAGAGTTTATTAGTATTTAGTGATTAAAGATAAGATTGGACAGTAACGGCTAAAGGTCTGTAAACATGTTTTATATATTATATCCCTTGGAAATATACTGTACTATCTGCAAATTCATATCAGGTTTGTACATTTGCTCTGTTATATTAAGGAGATTATAATTTTTTGCAGTAATTCCTGGTAAATTTAGTTTAATGACACTAAACATCTGATATGCTGAATAATATTGCTTTTTCATATTTTCAAAAAAGCAATGTTAGTGCTACAATCTACTCAATATAGTTATGTCCATGTTTCAACTGAAACAAGCTGAACTGATGAAAAGTAGACGCAAGTGTAAAAATCATATTTTCTTAGTTTTCAGTCACATTATACCAATTCAATCAGCCAACTTTTTTACCCCCATGTCTTTTCTTGCCTGACAGGTTGAAACCATTTTTCAATCAGCAAACGTTTTACCCTTTTGTATGTCATTCTGGGAGTCAAAATGGTGGTCTGAATCTGCCATTGGCTTTTGCAGCCAAATTCGAACCCCCAAATTCCTCTGGGCTGACAAACATCAACAAAGACCCTGAGAGAGACCAAGGAGAGGTGAGCAGTGAACTTGAACTGAAGCCTCATTGTATCGGCTCATTATAGGGTCTTGAGGGGAGGAAGAGGCTATTTTGTTGCGCCACAAGGCCAATATCTAAAAAGACAGGGCAATGTAGAGGATCAGCCACAAGACTTTTAATTTGAGAAGGTATCAAGGGACTTCCCTGTAAAAATAATAATATTAATAAAAATCAGTCTATGAATATTAATAGACTTGTTGGACTGAACACATTTTTTTCTTTCAAACATTAAGGTACAGTTATTCCACACAGATAGATTCTGCTGAATGGAATTGATCAATAAAAAATATATATTGTTTCCAATTTCAAACAATAACAAAGGCAACCAAGGTCAGGAGTTGTTTAATTTTTGTGACATAAGAAATGTTTTCCACTAATTAATACTTTAAATCTTGCAGATGCAATTCATATTGCACATCCTAACACATCTGTTTTCAAAGCTGTAAAATATATTTCTATGCCCCCTGGATTTTCTTTCCCAGGAATTTTGATTTTACTTCCAAATAGATTTGAAAAGGAGGAGCTGTCACTCTCTATTATGGTAACCTCAATGATTTCGTGCTCTGTCCAAATCCAGTGGTTTTCCATAACAATGCAAATTAAAGGGCACAAAGCTGAAGGAGACAAGACTTGCTATTTCCCATCCGAAGGACAGAGGTTTCCTAACAACAAACTTGTCTGTACGCCTTGTGTAGACTTTGACAGAATTTATATGCCGACTTGGAAGTTGTTTTGTGCGACACAAAAGTTTTTGATGTCAGTTCTTGAGGATCAGCAGCTGTCCTGAGAAAAAGTGGTACTAGCGCTGAGGAATGAGACCGGAATGTCCCTGCAAGAGATTAATTTTGTGAATGAAACCGTTTGGGGAGCTACTTATCTAAATGGGTAGAAGTTAAAGGTTACCAGACCTTGCATAAATGGAAAATTTGAACTCTGTGAACTCTGCCAGAAAATATTGCTAAGTCTACCTATCAATGTCTTATCTTATTGCTAAGTCTACCTATCAATGTCTTATCTTATCTTATCTTATCTTATCTTATCTTATCTTATCTTATCTTATCTTATCTTATCTTATCTTATCTTATCTTATCTTATCTTATCTTATCTTATCTTATCTTATCTTATCTTATCTGTGACATGGAAGGAAATGTTTACAAATAAAAATCTGAAACATGCGATGTGCACACTGCCTTCAGAGTCACTCATAAGTTAAAAGTAGAAACCATCTGTAGTGTGAATGTCTCGGAACTTTGTTCGAGAACATTAGAGATTGAACAGCATCAAGAAGACAAAAAAGGAAGAAAAAAAAAACAGCATACATATCACAGAAAAGGTTGTGAAAAAGTTGACTGGGATTGGGTTGTAAAACTGTATACCAAACTTTGAACATCTCCTGTACAAGCAGAACAAATCCATGGTTTCTGAAAAACATGGGTACTTCGTGAGATGCAAGACCAAAACTAATTTCTTACTAGTTACTTTTTTGTGACGGACCCACATAAAGTAGTTCATACTTGTGAGTTGGATGGTAAATGTTTCAAAGTTTTCAATTGTCTTTTACAAATAGAAATACAAAAAAGTGGGGTGAGCATCATTCATCCTGAAAATGGAAAAAGTACAAAGTTTAAACATACCACAATAAGGAACATGGTAACAGGAATCCACATTTTACAGGGAAAACCTGTCAGACCAATTATGATTTAGATCTGGCTTTTATGGACGAGTGATGAGAAGAAAACCACTGTAGAATGCCATAAAAGGCAGGGTTTGCCACAAGACAAGACACACCAAAAACCTTGAAGAAGGTGCTCTGGCTTGATGAGACAATAGCCTACCTGAAATTCTTGACTGAGCCACAAGCAAAATAGTGTGTTTTTCAGAAAATATACAATTTAACACTTCAGATAATTATTTTTTTAAATGGACAAACTGTTCTAGTTAATATGATTGGTGTAGGTCTATCATGCAATTGTCAATTCGCATTTACAAAACGCGAGAAAATTTAAGGGTTGCGAAAACTTTCATAAGGCGCTTTGTCTGTCTTAGAGTAATAAAATTAATTGTAGAAAGATGGCTTTGTTAATTAAACATGATATCATTTCTCTGTAACACATTCAGTCATGCACCCGCTCCCCTTTTCCCAGAGTGAATTTCCTGCAGTCAGTGACCCAGATCTATGTGCAATGAACTGCTTGACTCAGACTGTTGTTTTATTCAGCGCACTCACTGTCAACAGTCGGGCGAGGAGGAGGATGAAGGGCGGGACGTCACGCTGATATTCCATTCTGATTGGCTCCCCGCCCCATAACTCTTATCGCTATTGGCCGCGCGGGGTGTCCTTTCGGAGAAGATCTGTCATCGCCGCCGTTTCCCGCGCCATTCGCGTGCACGCGCGTGAGAGGGGACCAGGCACGCAACCGTTAGGAGACTGTCTGGAGTCTGTCTCAAATTGATAAATTTGGAAATGGAGTTTTACGGGTCTCTGTGCATCTACAAGGAAGCCTCCCGCTGGGAAATTTGGATCTTTGCGCTCCTCCTCAGACGTCGCTTCACATTGAGTCGCCACGCATTGACGAAATGTTTATTTTTCTTCTTTAGAAAACAAAAAGCCCAAAGTTTTTTTTCCCCTCTTCTGCAGTCCATCAGCAGGCAGACAGCTCCTTGTGCCCAGGTAGGTTAAGGCAAATCCTGGAGTGCAAGCAGCCTAACAGAGCGGATGCTGCAGCATTACAGCAGTGCTTTTCGTATTTTTAATGCCTTTTTTCTCCTCCAACATCTTCCTCTGCTTACATACGCAACAGAGTGGAAGAAGAGATAGTCCCATTCATTTGTTCTGCTAAAAAAAAAAAAAAAAAAAGAAAAGAAATCGCACCGCATTCGCGTTCGTATTATTTTGTGCAACTCATGCCAGACAATAGCCGTGTTGTTGTGGGGACTTGACCTCATTCACACACTACTTCAGGAAGATGCGCAGGTGACGCACCTTTGCTGACGCGAGGCTTTTTGATTAACTCCACGCGCACTCGGGCTCTGTGTTTACTCAGCAGTCACCTGAGGGGCACAACCTGGCCTTAGTGCGTTTACTTTAACCCTTTCAGCCACAGCACCAAGCACTGGGGATTTTTTTTTTTCTTTTTCCCGAAAAAGCTGTATTCTATTTATCCTATGCAACATGCACCTAAATTGTTTCATCATGATGAATTATGAACTCTATAAAATGCTTCCCTTTATTGTGTCTGTTTATGCTCTGCAGGGAGTTGATCCTCACCCATGGAGTTCAAGATGAGTGCATCATGCACGAGGCAGCCTATAAAAGCACATAAAGGTTTGTTTTGGCATAAATTTTAGGGATAGCTATTGTTCTCCCATAGATAGATAGATAGATAGATAGATAGATAGATAGATAGATAGATAGATAGATAGATAGATAGATAGATAGATAGATAGATAGATATTATGAAAGAATAAAATTAAGTGTTATTGTTGAATTGAATCTAATTTATTAAATTCCACATTACTGCCTTTGAAAGGCATCAGTGCCAATGAAACTGAATCCAATTGGTCAAATTGATCACGAGCCTGGGGAATGTGACTTAATTACTATGACGTTTCAGATATGTGATAATGCAGTAATAATTGCAATTCAATATGTTGAGCAGCTCTAATATTCTGTTGCTTAGACATTTGGCCTGAACTACACAAAGCCTCTACCATTTAAATGTACCATAGTTTGGAGCCTCTATTGAAACTCTTATTCTTTCTTACTATATTTATTGTTTATCTTCCAAAAACTTCCCTATACGTTTTCTCATTCATCCCAAGATTTTACTGTCATTTTAGCATCAAAGTACAACAATCCATAAGACAACATGTAGGACTATGTTAGATAAGATTAAACACTCAAAGTCCACATTGAAAATCAAAACTCATATTTGGACCATTAAGTAAAAAAAAAAAAAAAAAAAAAAAATTATGAAGTTGTGAGTTTGACAACTTCATAAGTTTAACCCTAACCTGGAAACCCCAGAACACATGTGACCTAGTTTAAACGATGCGCTTGATGGTCTTCATTATTTACAAAGAATATGTAAATAAAAAAAAATACTTTTAAATAATTTAATTAAATAGACAAACAGTCAGAATTCATTGATCTCTGGAAAAATCACAACTAATCTGTGTGATGCTGCTAGTCTACTTCATCTGAGATGAGTTTAGGCTCGTCTAGACACTTTTTTTCCCAGTCGCTGCAGTTGTCTGCAGACTGTACAGTCATATGACTCAGTCAGACAGACAGTTCCTCCTTCCTCATCTCAGCTCTGTTTTGGCAAGATGGCTGCTGAGACTAATGCTGCATTCGTGATGTGTACAATCAAAGATAGGATTTAAAAAATAGAAACATGAGACTAATGATGAATCATCAAGTCTAGATAGCACTTGATTGCAATGCATTAGTATAAAGAGCATGCAGACCCCAGAGGGAGGTTGCCTTTTTGAACCGATATTTCTGACTGAAATATTTTTTGGTTTGCGAGTTAGAGGCTTCTTTCTCTTCTTTTCAGCAAGTTTCATGCATTGATCAACTAAACTCTGTACTATTTCATTATTTTCATCTGGTTCTCAGTCACATTTTCTTTCACATGCTCATCGAGTGCTGCAGATCTGAGACGCTTGGTAGCCATTTTGTCTGCTGCGTGCGTGCAAGAGGCTTGCAAGACATCAAACTATTACGAAAAACACTAAACAGACTCTCCATGTTATCCTCTTGACTTTGGATTTTTAAAAACACGTCAAAATATCGGAGTGTCACATAGAAAAAGTTTAAAATTAAATCTGAATGTTTGTTTTAATGACATGCAATTAATAGCTCTGCCTATGATGATAGGTGTGGAAGGATAAACAATTTAATGTTGCCAATAAGTGCTAATTTTATAATTTAGACATTTTTTTGATTACTTAGCCGATGTTTTTAAGGGCTTTCGATAAAGGTTATTGAAAAATATTCTGACCTTCTAGAGTCCACTATATAGCGGAACATAATTAATTTCACTGTATTTGTGTGTATTTTGTTCAATGTTTAACTAATTTTCTACTTATAAATTCTGTTATTAGAAGTTATGCGATTAAGGACAAAGTCTTTTTTATTTACAGCATTTATTTACTACGAAACCATTTTTATATTGGTTTAATGAACGTAAATATAAATCGTGATGCACCGTAAAAAATTATATTACATGATAAATTGTTCTTTATAGCTTGTATAATCATTAAAAGAAAAGAAAACAAAAAAAAACAAAACCTGTCGTGCAGTTGAAAGTTTTTTTTCTTTACAACTTTCTTTTCTGAGGGAGTAATGCAAGTAGCTGAAATTAACTCTGGCTTAAAAAGTGCTCTGAGCGTCTGTCTGACAATACAAGTTACATCCACTCACTGAGTCTGTGATGTTTATCTGTTTGCCATATCATTGACCAGCCTGGACAGATCTCTTCATTATCATCTACTTAGTGCATACTCATCTGCTGTCAGAGGAGCTTCTTTAATCTCTTGTGGTCCTGGTTGCTTTAATGGTTTCTGAATGCTTGCTGATTGTGTTGTTTAGTGAGGCATGAAGCCGCCTTTGAAAACATGCAGAAGTTTTTACAGGTCCTGAGTCTCTCCTCGAAAAGTATAGTAGAGGTATTTTCAGGCTCGTCTATTAATTTTGTGTTCTCAGCGATAAATTGCCAAACATGGGTTTTACAATTTTTTTGGTGGGAATAATTTATGCACAAAAGATAGTTTTTGCAAAACGTATGACGTATACTTCTATAACTAAACGTATAACTACGTTATGTAGAAGTAAAAAATTATCTGATAAATGCGGCTGGTGTTTAGATGATAAATTGTACAAATGCATCTGTTCAAAATAAAATTATTTTGCACACATATCCTACATTATGTGTACCAGAAAGAAGCATTTGCAACCTTTTGTAATTTAAATGTTAGAAGTGAAATAAAACTTTATTTATTATTATGAGAACAAGCAGCTGACGTTAAATAGTAATTAGTTTTTCTATTTTTTAGACTGACAGATAAAGTTTAGGTTGTTTTAAACCATTCAGCGCTACAATGACAGCAAAATATTTTTTATTTGAAAATGGTTGATTTTGCGCTTGCAGCGAAATCTTCCACACAGTCTCACACTTTTTTTGCTAGCTCTTCATTCTCACAGGCGATTCATGTTTTTGCTTTTCTTGCAGCCGCTGACATTGACAGTTATGATTTCCTGTCAACAAATGGTAAGATCTACTTTGACCTTTTCATTAAAGCACATTTGGGTAAATTTAAAATGGAGTAAAGCAATTCTAGGAAGGTTTTAAGGTGCTACAGCTATTGAATATGATTGCCTGAGGGAAATATCACTCCACGGCACACAACGGTGTTTGCAGAGGTCGAGCTCTTGAACTGCAATGCCTTTTCTGTACACTACACTGCTGAAAATTTGACTAATCAGCACTGTCGCCATTGCTCACTTCTAAACTGTGATTGGTTTTTATCAAGAGGGATTTTTTTGATCTCTTCATGACATAATCATAGATATGAAACTTGTAACTTTCACTTGAGGCTCGGTTGAAAAACGCTGATGCAAAAGGCACTCCGAAGCATCCTCCCTTGTTTTCTATTGGCTTGCTGTCTCCACCCACAGTGAGGTCATGAGGTCCAACATCGTGACGATGTCTGGTGAAAAACAGGCTTTCATCTTGTCTCTAATGCTTCCTGAGGTTTAATGAAAGGATTTTTCTGGGTCTATTTCTGAGTGCGAACAGAGTTAAATCCGAGCACGTTTCAAAGCACGGCCCTCTGGAAAAGCATCCGCAGCAACAGTCTGCCTGGTGAAATGGTGGCGTGTTTATCTCAGCAGTTCTTGCTGCATGATGATGCAGTCTTCTCTGACACTGTCGTGGGACATTTCAAATGAATACCTTGTGTGTACTTCAGAATGTCTTTTGGCAGCCTGGCAAAGCTTGGGTCCACTTACTTGGGCCCACAACTGTGCAACTGAGACCCGGGGCTGGTCTTAGCCTTTATCTCAAAGCCATCAGCGTCCATTTTACTTTGTGGCAGTTGAGATAAACTGTACTCAAGCTTTTAGAAAGAAGAATCGGAACTCGCAGACTAAGTCCCTGAAGAAAATCCTACAACTTTTATGCGCCACACAAACTTTTCCTCAGAAGATATTTCAAAAACAATTATACACGATCGGATGCATTGATAAAAATGTAGTTAATAGTTAATAAGTAACATTTTTCTTGACGGCAGCACAAATAATTGTTTATTTTATGCTGTTATAATTACAACCTTTGTGAATTTTCTGAATTTTAAACATGCAAGCTATACAACTTTTGATACAATGAATTAAAATACATAGAAATTAAAGTTTCAAACATTTTGAAGCAGTATTTAAATCTTATTATATACCGCAATTACATGTTATAAAATGAAATCGATTGCTATATTATCTATTCCATGCACTTTTTTTTACTAATTACATTACAGAAATTATACAGGCCATATGTTAGTTAATTAAATTAAGTGTTTTTAAAGAAGACATTTAAATCTTGAAAATTACTTTGACTGTAAAATTTTTTTATTTTGAGTTTTCTAAACCAATATAAAAAAACTCCTTCCTGAACTGTAGGAAAGTTTTTATTTACAGCTTATAAAAACTGAATTTAAAAAATATTACATGATAAATAAAAACACGGCATAATGCAAAAATAAATATTGTCTCATTTCATTGTTCAGTATTCCAGTATAAAATTTTAAGGTATATTGTTGTATTTATTGTTTCACGGTTGATATCTTTTTTTGCTTACAGATTTATGCGTTCACATCTATGCAGTTATTTTCATTTTAAATCTAATTACTTCATTCACAAAACATTTGATTCATATTAAACTTTTTTTTAATTAAAAAGAAACAGCGACTAACTGATGCTATTTGGGTGTTAGGTTGCAAAAGTTAAAAATTAACGATTTGAACGATAAGGAGGTTGCATTATTTTGGGAATGTATGTTGAAATAAAAAGCGGCCTTATCAAGATTTTGTGGAAAGTACAGTACACTGTGATTTAATCTAGCTAAATTGAGTGACTCCTCCTTACTTCTTGTTTTTGTCTACTGTTAAAATTTTGTATGAAAGCCAGACTGGGTTCTTATGCCATGAAGCACAACAGTGGCTGTCCATAATGTCAAGTTTAGTCTCCTCTCTGTAGTCATGCAAAAAGTGAGAGAGAACGCTAATTCTTTGGGATCATGCATATGCAGGAATTCCATGTTCCCAACTTATAGCTTAATGTCAGACTAATCAGCTTTTCCCTTATTAAACATACAATTTCTTGCCTTTTTCAACAATGGAAGATAACTTTACCACATTCATTTCAATGCATTTTTACAGTTTCAGTTTATGTTTCTTAATGTTGGATTATTGAAAACATGCGATTTAGGATTCAAGTTTGTTTAAAGCACAAAAATATGCAGAGAATAAACCACTGTTGCTTTTTAAAGTTTTCTCTCTCTTTTTTTTAAACTAGTATTCTGTGTTTAGCTTTTCTCATTTTCAAACATTTTATATTTGAAAATGTATCTTTCTCAAACGAATTTTTCTAAATAAAATTTCCACTTCTTAAAGCCATCTTGAGCTAATGTTTGACTGTTGTTTGGTTAACCACAGGTTCTGTCTTTTTGCTGAAGCCACAAAATAATTAATAAATATTAGGATCACATTAATAACAGCATGTCGCTCTTACATTGATTATAGTGCAAATGTAAATCTGCTATTTTTGAGCTTTTTGAAAAGGTAAGTGGTTTTGCTGTCAGCAGTCTAAATGTTGGGTGTTTGCCCTGCTGTTCTTGCACTGTTTGTGATCCTGCCACTCTTCAGATGTGCACGTGTTGCATGTCCGCTCCCCTCTGCCAAAAAACTGCAGCAGTGACAGCTTAAGCAGAATACTCCCTATTCTCATTTATCTTGAATTCTGACCTGACTTTAACAAGGAGCGTGCCCATCCACAAACATTTAAACGACTCGAGGAAGGCTGCTAACGTCTGGAAGACCGCTGTTCATTGTAATGTTTCTTTTCAACATAATATTCTCCTTGTCTCAGACAAACTTCTGCTAACTTTAAGTTTTTAGCTTTACTGAGTTCTCGGTATTTACGAAGCAAAAAGATCTAACTGGAGTGAAGCCTTACAAATGAAGAAAGACTTCACAATATAAGATTTTCCAACACTCTGGAGTCTAACAGAGGCTCGCTGTAGTGTTTCATGGAGAGTGTTTTGCTTTCAAGCACAATAACTAGCATGATATGTATAGTTTTCTCTGTCAATAAAAGATTGATTTAAATGGTCGACAAAAAATTTGACTCGCAAAAAAATAAATAATTGATGAAACGATACTATCTGTTTTGGTTAAAATAGATACACTTAACTTGGAAATGATCATGACCAGATTAATACGTTCATAGTAGAATAAAATCACATTTTAATTTGACTAGAAATCAAAAGTATCCATCAAATTTTAACAGCAAAAAACAAGTGGTAGACATATCTTTAGGGGCTAGTCTAGTCTTCACTTGACCACTTATTTGGTGTAAATACCGTAACACCGAAAGGAGTTTTAAAAAAGAAAAACAACAAATTTCTCGTGACAAAAAAGGGAGAAACCTGGGCAAAATATGATCAAATTAATGTAGTTGTTTAGTTTTGAAATTATACTTCACTAACAACTATAGTAGTATTAGTCAATACCTAAGTTTGATAGACTGTTTTGTTCCAGTTTTCTACACAACACATTAAATATTGCATTTCAAACTTAAAGACCATTTGTAGGAAAAGGAAAGTGCTGTTGTTTGACTAGCAACTGACATACTGATGGACTAACCTTTTTGGCAAAATAACAATGAACTTTCTTCCAATACTACATCATAAAGGAATATATTTGTGGATATCTCGGAAAGGAAGCACAGACTCCCAGAGTCAGCATTGATGCTAAAATTAGGGTTCTCCTCAAAGTTTTTCGAATTCTGAGAGAAATATTTGAAATGTGTTTCTGACATTAACTCCCTCCTGACACACACACATACACACCTCCAGTTCAGGGGATTTGCTCAAAGTTACCATCAAAGTCAGACTTGTGAGAATTGGCAGTATTGCCTGCATTTTTCTTTAATTGGGGCTTATTCCAACACACCTTGAATACCTTCTTTCACTTTAGCCATTTGACCTTTTTTGTGAATTAAGACAGCACGGCAGAGTTGAGCTCGTCATCCCCGCGGTACATCATAGTTCAGGGGAGGCTGCACCATGACTAATTAGTAAATCTCACTTCTCTCCAAGGTGAGAAAAGAAAATGATTTTCTTCGCAAGAAGCTCGGGGGCTTGCTGAGTAAATACCCACCTGCACTAAGTTGCAGTAACCTAATAAGTCTCCCTGGATTTCGAAAGGGAATATTTCATATTTCACTGATCTCAAACTGCTAGTTTTGCGTGTCTCAAATTTGACTCGGAAAGCCCTCTAAGGTGGCTCAGGCTGCACCCATCGACTGCAGGGTCTCTGCTGTCACACAATGGCATGGAAAGGTCAGGCCTAATGAAGTCGGGGGTGCGACCCCAAGCATTCAGTGACTTTGCATGGGCTCCCATCCCACCTCTGCAACCATGCTGGTTAATCCCTTTTTGATCCTAATTGATAGGCATTAACATGATCCTTATCCAGGAGCTGTGTTTTGTCTTCCGCAGTCCTTCCCTCTTGGTGTCAATGACACAAAGTGTGAAAGCGTTAAGCCAAATGTGAAATTGATATTTTTCATGTTTGTGCGCCTAAACTGTGGCTACGCTTCCAAACAGTCCCACTGAAGTTCTCAGCATTTTGCCCTTTGAGACTATCAACAGGACTTAACTTCTAACCTCTGGAATCCGACTGTGATGTGAATGGTAGCAGCCCATTTGCACATTCTTTTTCTTAGAGTCCTTTCATCTTCATCAATAGGCAATTATTGTCTATAACTGGTAACTAATGACCCTCTTTAAAATGTTTTCTTAGACTCTTAGGTCAGAGCACATGTCACTTTGAAAGTGAGGACAAAGTGTGATTTCCAAAGTGCAGATGCTACATCAGTTCTCACAAGCTTTAACTAAACAAATTTATTCAGTAACGTTTAATGCAGCTGTTGTTCATTGACAAAAGCTCAGTTTCCAACACTTTAGAAAGGACGTAACAATTTGCATAACTTTTAGTT